TTCGCTTCGTTCGCGTAGTCCAAGTTCATCTTCATTCTCGTGGAGTTACGATAATGGACAAAACACCCAGCTATATCCTCCTAATCCTTTCCTAAATGGGACATTAGAGCCAAAAACCTATGGAAGGATACCATTTAAAACACCTGTGGGGAGTCTTTCCCCGGGTAGAGGCCAAATACAACCTAAGACTAGAATGGAGCTGCTCAACCTAATGCCTTCAGCAAAAGATGCCATCGTTGGACAAGTCCAACACCCAAAGAGCTATCAAAGGATTCAGGAGATTGAAGCGCCCAAGCCAAAACCTCAGGAACTCCCAGATGCTCCTAAAGAGGCAAGTTTGAGCACTTCTGTTCCCAAATTCGCCCCAAAGTTAGCCTTAATTTCAGGCTCCATCATTTATCAAACAACTCGGCCCACCTATTCAATGCGTTGAAGGTGATAACATCTACCTAGAAGCTCAAGTGGCTCCAATTGATGACAACACCTTGACGGTTAGTGTTTTTCTGGACAGGTGCAGCGCTTGCTCCCCGCCGTACCTACGTTTGCCTTTTGGATCTGTGCTTGCGCGATAGCCAAGAACAAGCATTCTTAGCTTTGGAATTCTGATTTGCAGCGTAAAATGGGCTTAAAATAGCCTTAGGAATGAGGGATGATTAGACATTAAACTTGTAGAATTTTCTTCAAGAAAAACTTTATCTCGTTTTATTTTGTCCTTTTTTAGTATGAGTGGCTCGTAAATGGACGTCCATTGATGAAAGCACATCGTTTTGTCCTTTCACAAGATTTTGGATATATTGCTCTGAATATCCTGTACTGCTATCCAGAAGACAGCGGAACGTATACATTGGTTGTTAGGTAAGTATTTTATGCTTTGTCAATTTGGGGCTTGAAGATGTATGTATTATGTTGCATTTAATATTACTACACTTAAGAAAGTTCCTCCATATATTAAGAAATTTAGAACTTTGTTTTAAACAAGATATAAATCGTGTTTTCGCCTTGTTAAATGATAACTGACATTATTGACAGCTACAGAAATTATGTTAACTTTTTTCACTCAGACAATAAATTTCCAGAAATGCTGCTGGTGAAGCGCAATCCACTGTAGATATTGATTGTCGCATCGATGGAGTCAACGTGAGTTTTTTGAAAAACGATTTTTCAGAAATTTTCTATAATTTATTGGAAGGTAATCTCATACTTGATGGTATTTTGCAATAAAATTCGAATATTGTATAGTTAAAATCATTGGAGGTATAGGTAAATTATCAGAAAATTGTTCAGCGACTAACCTGACACCTTTAATATCTACATGCGCTTTGGATTTTTGTAAAGGGGATATATAATATTTCACTCAGCTCGCATTCTTCTTTATTACCACCTGCAGAGTGATTTCGAACCCTGTAGCATAATTGGACGAAACTAATAGCAAATGTAACGAGATAACTCACTTATCTCTCA